CTCTCATCATCGGGCTGGTTCCGTAACTCATACTGTGCTCCCAAACTCTCTGTGACCTGTAGTCATTGTTTATGAGTCGAGTGAGTCCACATTGGGCCTGGCCCTGGTTCCTCATTCAGCCTTGTGGTAGGCAGTGTTGAGGGGGATAAGGGGATAGAGCAAGGGTCTAAAATTTTGGGGGGATTAAAAGCGAAATTGATTTAAGGGGATTGGTTCAGTTTTAAGCTATTTCTGAGTTTCAGTCAGCAGAGGTGGGCAAGAAGGAGGCTGTCTACTTGGTGATAGCTTTATATTTTATCTAAGTTTCTGAGGTCTCAAATTGCCCTCGATGAGGAAAGGCTGTCTGTTATTTTGTTATTTGCAGGGTGGATGAAAAGAACTAGATCTAACAGTTTTCTGTGACCAGAGATTAGATGTACCTAGGCTTGGGGGAAGATGAATAGGTCACAAGTGAAAGTTTCCTTAGCTTGTCTTGCTCCTTAACCAGCCCAGAGCCCCCCTTGTCCCTGTTTAGTGTGGAGCCTTTGCTGCTGTTGAGTTAGGGACCTTCTGTGAATAGTGGTAGAGCTGGGAACAGGGCCTTAGGTGGTGCTCATGTTTAGTTTGTAGTTGATGGGAAAGGATTTGTGCCTGTTGAGGGTTAGAGACTTCAGCAGAAAATTTGGCTTTTGGGGGTCTCTCTGGAATGCTACTGCTCTGTCGATGGTGGTCAGATTGTGGGTGTCTCCCCTACTCCCAGTGGCTCCTGACACTATCAACAATCATGTGAAGACTTGTCGGGAGGAGCAGAAGAATCTACACTTCTTCGCACCAGAGTATGGAGGTGAGGCATCGCAGTTTTTCTGCCCTGTCCCTCGCCCCATGTTTCCACAGAATAACATAACTGGAACTGCTAGGCCCTCTCTACTTGCATACCAAAGTTTTTTAAAGGCATTTCTGCCATGCCCCGCTCCCATTCTCTGATTCACCAAAGCCTACTCTGTTTTCTTTAGAAGTCACTAATGTGACAACAGCAGTGGACATCTATTCCTTTGGCATGTGTGCACTAGAGGTGAGGACACCACAAGGGGGAGGGATGGTGGTGATGGAAAGCAGTGGAATTGGAAGATGGAAAGGGGAAGTGGAGGGAGCATAAGCGAGGTCCTGGGTTTGAGGGAATGATTGTGGGAGCACTGAGGTGCTTAGTTCTCTGCTTTCCTTTTTATTCCCCCTCACTGCAGATGGCAGTGCTGGAGATTCAGGGCAATGGAGAGTCCTCGTATGTGCCACAGGAAGCTATCAGCAGTGCCATCCAGCTTCTAGAAGACCCGTTACAGAGGGTAAGAATCAGCAGGCTCACTCCCTCCTTAACAGACTTTGAAATGTCTTAAGTTCTTCTTTCTTTCTGCCTACTGGGAATATGCTCTCTTTTAAGAGGAGGAGAACAGAAAGCAGAAAGGACCAGCAAAAGCAGTAATCACTTGCCCTTGCTGGGTGGTTTAATTTAGTTGGAGTGCCTCGGGGTGTGTGCAGGAGGCAGCTGATCAGTGTGTCTCTCTCCTGTCTATGTTTCTCTCTCTCCCTTCTTCTTTCTCTAAAGTCAATACATATATCCTCTGGTGAGGATTAAAAAAAAAGTAGTGGACATTTCCCTACTATGTGGTGCCTACTATGTGTGTTGTATTTACACACACAGGTGTGGGGGTTAAGATGGGTGATTATTGGGGCTAAAGATTATGCATTAATTTAGGTATATATACATGGAGGTTAACTAATGTCATGGTTAACTCAGGTAATTCATAAACACTCAGAGGCATCCATCTTGAGTTTTTTAATGATAGGGGCATTCTTTTTTTTTTTTTTTTTTTAAGATTTTATTTATTTTTAGAAAGGAGAAAGAGGGAGAGAAACATCAATGTGTGGTTGCCCCACACTTTCTCTACTGGGGACCTGGCCCTGCAATGTGCCTGGATAGGGAATGGAACCGGTGACCCTTTGTTTCACAGGCTAGCACTTAGTCCACTGAGCCACACCAGCCAGGGCCCATCTTGATATTTTTAAATAAACAAGTCAGTCAGTTTGAATTAATCAAATCAGTCATTTGGGCATACACACACACACACACACACACACACACACACACACACACAGAGTTGACCCTTGAACGATGCAGGGGGTAGGGATATTGACCTGTGCAGTTGAAAATCTGTGTATAACTTACGGTTCCCTTAAAACTTGAGTTGTCTCTCAGTATCTACGAGGGATTGGTTCCAGGACCCCCTGCAAATTCCTAACTCGGGATGCCCAAGTGCCCTGTATAAAGTGGTGCAGATCAATACACACTGTCGCCCCTGCCCCCCCAACCATGAATTGAAAACAATATAGGTATTTATTTTTTTAAAAATGTAATGGTGGAACTGTGCAGTTCAAATGCCTGTTGTTCAAGGGTCGGCTACAGTTAGGGAAAGTGAGCTTAAACAATGAGCTAAGATTTAAAGGATATAAGGATTAGGAGTTGGTAGGTAGACTACAGTAAGTAGAGTCAGGACAGGAGCATCCAAACAAGGATAGTTCTTAATTGTGAAAGGGAGAGAAATTAAGGAAGACTAGTGGGAAGTCTTGAGGCTAGTGTGGAATAACTTCTCAGCTCAGTGTTAGGATGGGGGTTCAAGAGAAAGATGAGGTATATCACCTTGTGGACCTTCAAGATCAAGAGGAGGAAAGCATGTTAATTATTATGGGACCTAGGGAGGTGGGAAGGGGTGATTTAGAAGCATTGGGAGATACAAAGATGCATACATGGGGGGTACTTGCCAGATGCCTGCTCCACTTCCTTGATTCCTCTTCCAGGAGTTCATTCAAAAGTGCCTGCAGTCCGAGCCTGCTCGCAGACCAACAGCCAGAGAACTTCTGTTCCACCCAGCACTGTTTGAAGTACCCTCGCTCAAACTCCTCGCTGCCCACTGCATTGTGGGGCACCAGCGTGAGTCTCCTTGGTCCTCCTACAAATTTTCTTCCTGTCTGGAGCCTTGTTAACCTTTGCTGCCTTTCCTCTTTTACTTCCAAAGGGAGTCTTAACCTCCAGGACCTCTGTGCCTTTTAATATGACTATTCCTGCATAACTTCCCATTCTGTCATGTCCTCCAGACATGATCCCAGAGAATGCCCTGGAAGAGATCACCAAAAACATGGACACCAGTGCTGTACTGGCTGAAATCCCTGCAGGACCAGGAAGAGAACCAGTTCAGACTTTGTGAGTGACTGACTGAGGGTCTGTCAACTGTCCTTTCTCTGGGCGAGGTTGAAACTGCTGTTTTGCCTGTTTCCTTCCTTCCATCTTCTCTTTTTCTCTGTCCAGGTACTCTCAGTCACCAGCTCTGGAACTGGACAAGTTCCTGGAAGATGTCAGGTGAGAAGAGTGAGAAGGCTTTTTTGAGGAAGCAGGGGAGGGCATCCTCGGGCATTCAGGAGCCCATGTGACTCATGTAATCTCCCTTTAGGAATGGGATCTACCCCCTGACAGCCTTTGGGCTGCCTCGGCCCCAGCAGCCCCAGCAGGAGGAGGTGACATCACCTGTGGTGCCCCCCTCTGTCAAGACTCCAACACCTGAGCCAGCTGAGGTGGAGACCCGAAAGGTGGGGCTGTGTGGGTGTGGACGTTGGTATGGTCACAGTGGAAGGGAGAAGAGGACATCTCAAATAAGGCTTTGTCCTTTAGAGAAAGGACTGTGTTTCCGCTCCCTGGCAACCATGTCACTCTCCGGTCCCTGCTCTGGTAACCGTCTGTCCCCACTTTCTAGGTGGTGCTGATGCAGTGCAACATTGAGTCAGTGGAGGAGGGAGTTAAACACCACGTAAGGCTGGGGGCCAGGGTTACATAGGGTTGGGTGGCCAGAGGGTGGGGCAGGGGGACCTCATTTTCTGACTATCCTATTCTCCAGCTGACGCTTCTGCTGAAGCTGGAAGACAAACTGAACCGGCACCTGAGCTGTGACCTGATGCCAAGTGAGTCTCTCCTTTCCCTCAGAGGATGGAGAGTCTATGAGCCTTATCTGTGAGGGACATACTCAGGGGTGGGCAAGGTGCCAAGACAGTGACATACTGACATCAAGTGACTGTGTTAGCCCCCCCAAATTTAAGGGCGGACCTGACCGTTTTGCTTGTATCCTTCTTTCCCAGCCAGGGTAACCCGACTGGGGCTGTTCCACCCCTCACTGCCACCATGTGCTCACGCTGTCCTCTTTCTCTGTCAGATGAGAACATCCCAGAGTTGGCGGCAGAGCTGGTGCAGCTGGGCTTCATTAGCGAGGTGCGGTTTCTGCCCTGGGGCAGGGCGGGGGGGGGGGGGGCAGGCTCTGCCTCCCTCCGCCCCTCTCACTGCGCATTGTCCCCCAGGCTGACCAGAGCCGGCTGACCTGCCTGCTGGAGGAGACCCTGAACAAGTTCAACTTTGCCAGGAACAGCACCCTCAACTCAGCCGCTGTCACCGTCTCCTCTTAGAGCTTCCTCGGGCCAGGCCCCTAGTCCGAGCTGTGGGTGCGCTAGTCGCGCTGCAGCCCTCCGCCCCTCCCCCAGTCAGTATTACCCTGTGAAGCCCCTCACTCCTCTGTTATTTAGGAGGGCTTTGGGGCTCCCTGGTTCTGAGCATCACCCTCCCCCTGCCCCTTCTCTCCCTCCCCTCTGCACTTTGTTTACTTGTTTTGCACAGACGAGGGCCTGGGCCTTCTCAGCAGCCGCCTTCCGGTTGGGAGCTAGTGGCTGATCTGCTGGCTCCTGCCAGCCTGTGTGGCAAGGATGCCCGCGGGCGCCGGGGAGCTGAGATCCACAATCCCGCTGGGTGGAGGGGCGGGAGAGAAGGGTGGTGCTGCAGTGGTGGCCCAGGGGGCCATTTCATTCGCCTCAGTTGCTGCTGTAATAAAAAATCTACTTTTTGCTAAGAGCGTCCTGTGTGTGCGCACGCGCCTCGCCGCTAGGGGGAGCGGGCCCAGGCCGGGCCTTCAGGTGGCGGTGGGCGGGGCCGCCCTGCCAGGGCGGGTGGGGCCAGGCCCCGACCAGGTAGAGCTGTCCGGCTGCCGGTGGAGGGACACAATGCGGTGCTGTCGCGCCTGTACATTCGGTAACCGCCCCTTTGGCCTCATTCTCCCGTACTCACCTGAAACCTACCCAAGCGCCCCGGGCCCCGGGTAGCTCGGGGCCGTAGCGCGGGCTTTCCTGGTTCCCCTCCAGGCTCAGGCTTGCCCCTCCCCCGCGCTCCACAGACGCAGCCCGGGGCCCTTGGCGGCTTATGCGCGTGGGCCTCGCCCTCATCCTGGTGGGCCACGTGAACCTGCTGCTGGGGGCCGTGCTGCATGGCACCGTCCTGCGGCATGTCGCCAACCCCCGAGGTGGCGTCACCTCCGAGTACACCACAGCCAATGTCATCTCTGTGGGCTCAGGGTTGCTGGTGAGTGCGGCGGACGGGACGAATTACGGGCGGGTGAGTGGCGTGCCCTGCCCAGAGCAGCCTGGGCCTCACTCAGGCTTTGTGTCTTCCAGAGTGTTTCCTTGGGACTTGTGGCCCTCATGGCATCCAGGAATCTTTTTCGCCCACAACTGGTGAGGGGGGATTTCTTCAGTTTAAATGAGGGGACCCCGAGTCAGGGAAATGGGGGCTGACTCAACTTCAAGTGGGGAGGAGGAGCCCCAAATGGAGACCCAGTGGGCGATTCAGTGGGACAGTCAGCCACCCCAGGCTGCTCACCTGATCTTCTGACCCTGGCAGCACTGGGCCCTGCTGGCAGTAGGTCTGGTGAACCTGCTCTTGTCCACTGCCTGCTCCGTGGGTCTCCTCCTCGCTGTGTCACTTACTGTGGCCAATGGTGGCCGCCGGCTCATTGCCGACTGCCATCCAGGACTGCTGGATCCTTTGGTACCACTGGACCAGGGGCCTGGACACGCCGACTGCCCCTTTGATCCCACAAGAATCTATGTAAGTGTGCTCCTCGGCTTTTTTGCAGCTCCCAAAGCCGCCTTCTGCCCCTTCAAGGACCCTGATTTGCCACTCCTGCCCTGCTCCCTCTTAGTCCCTCCAACCTTCCTCTTCACCTTTTAGGATACAGCCTTGGCTCTCTGGATTCCTTCTTTGCTCATGTCTGCAGTGGAGGCTGCTCTCTCTGGTTACTGCTGTGTGGCAGCCCTCACCCTCCGTGGGGTGGGACCATTCAGGAAGGAAAGGCTACAGGGGCAGGTAAGGAAAGTGAACAGGAAGGGTTCATGCAACACAGACTGGCTGTGTTGAAAAGACGCTAGACTTGTAATTCAGCACCAGAGTACTAACTCCACTCTCTTCTGCAGCTGGAGGAACTGAGAGAGCTTGAACATCCTAAATGTAATAGGCAGGATAGTGAGCAGCTACTGGGTCAAAATCAAGAAATCCAGGCATCACAGAAAAGTTGGGCTTAGGACAGGTAACTGGCCATGAGGACTGTGGCCTGGGAGAGGGTATGGGCAGGGAACTGCTCTCAGAATTGAGTCTAGTCCCTTATTATTCTGCTTGCACTCTGACCCAGGCTCTCCCTTCTGTCAAGCAGGTGCTGCTGATCCAAAGGCTCAGTCCACAGGGCTTTCCACTGACCTCTAGGTGGCATGAACACTGTAATAAAAGGACTTTTCTTCTACTTGATTCTGATTTGGGGGGGAAAGGGCACTGGGCTGGTATTGAGGGTGACCTTGATCAAAGAATACAGCGATCTGTGTTAGTCATAAGAGTTTAATGAAAGAAAGAACTTAATATTCCTCCCGGAGTCCTGCCAGTTACTGAAATGAAAAGCTGGTGCTCGGGAGCCCTCCACACCACTGACTAATGAATTTCAGCACATCCTGGCACACCGGGCTGTGGGAGGTCTGTGAGCAAACAGAAAGAATGTCAGAGGAACTCATCAGGGCTGAGAAAAACATGCCTGCTCTAAAAAAATCATCTCCATCAGTGTGGGCACCTGGTTCAGGGCCTGCACCTGCCTTCTTGACAGTCCCACCCACCTGTCTAGTGGTCTGTTTTCTTCAGTGCGGCTCTCCCTGCCCCACCCTGCAAGTCTCCCGCTCTCACCTTGATAGCCATAAGGAACTTATTCCAGTTGTCCTTGTTAGCCGCCTTTCCTGGCCGCTTAAATTCAATTTTATTCCTCAGAATGGGGTATCCTGTGGGGGACGAAAAAAGATGAACTGGGGTTTGAGAGGGACTGAGGGGGAAAACAAAGATTAATTTAGGGGTAGGGAGTAGGATGTTCTTCTGCATCCTTTATTGAATCACAGGAAAGCCAATCTAGCTATTTCCCCCTCCTTTCTACCTACTACGGAACACAAGGTGCTCTGGGGTTCTGTACCTGTAATGAGGCAGGGCAGTGCCCGAACGCCAGTGCTCGCCGCCACCAGGGAAGCCTCGTAGGCACCGCGTTCATCCCGAGGTAGAACCTGCTCTAGCCGCTGGTCCATGGAGACTGTGAGCACCCAGTCTCGAACCTCTTCTCTCTGAGCCTCCTGGGGAGGACACAGGGAACAGCAGCTTCACACAGGGCAAGGCAGGGCAAATGGGTGGCAAGTGAGGAGGTTTGCTAAGCCTCATACTTTCTCCCATCAATGGTCCTCCTTGAATTAGGTGTCACAGTCACAGCCTTGGCTTTTTCACTCTGATTCTACTTTCACTAAAAGACCAGTGAGGACTGAGGCCATGGTTGACTGACAGCCGGTACAAAGCGTTGGGAGGACCATCCTAATGTGTCCTCCCTTCTCAGTGCATGCACACTGGTGAGCCCCCCCTTCTCTAGTCATCTGTCCTTACTGGTACATGCTGCTTGGCTGGCAGAGGCACTTCGAAGGGAATGTCTGTGTCCTGAAAGTCAGAGTGGTCAAGAGCATCCAGAGTCCCTTCCTCGATCGCCTGTGGCAGAGTAAGCTGTCATGAGATAGGCACAGCTGTGACAGGCAACCCCCTCTCCCCCTGCAGGCACCATCTCCCTACTCACATCCGTCAGATCCAAAAAGCGGTTGAGGAAGATGAATGCCATGTTCTCCCAGCCAACTGCCTGCAACAGAAAAGTTGCAAATAGGGGTGAGCAGCTGGGTTTGGAGGCTGCTTTTACAGGATGCAGGGGGGAGAATCCAGGAAGATATAGGAAACCAGTATCCTCCATAATGTCAGCCCCACACTCAGCTTTGTTCTTCCTGAGCAGATGGGATAAATCTGCCTTCCAACCTCTGATTTCCTTATCTCCTCAACCACACCCTTCCTTGTCCCAGCTTACCTTGGCTGCAACACCTGCTTCATAGAAGGCCTTGTCTGCAGGTAGTAGCTGGGTGTGACGTAAAAGTGAAACAGAAAGCTTGGCAGCCACAGTTTCCTACAGATTAAAGTCAAAGTGTTATGACCCTGGCCCTTCAGTGGCCAAGCAAGCAGACCAGTGATCTTATGACTCAGGCAGCCACAGAGCCGGAAAACCAACCATCATTAAACTGCGCTGGATCTCAAGCTGTTCTGGGTCTTAGTTATTTTCATCTACACAGAACTGGGCACAGATTACTTCTAAATTTCCTTCCACATCCAGAATTCTATCAACCGAGTGCATGAAATAATGACACAACATTGGTTTTCAGCCAATGTGCTACAAGAATTTTTAAAACATGCAAATACCTGACCATTGAGTCAGGGGCTGCTCTCTTTTTCCCTTAGATTGTCACATAAAAAAATGACAACAGCCAACACAACAATAGTCGCCTAGTGTGAATGAGTCAAAAATTATACCTACTTTTTTTTTTGTCAGATTGTCAAAAATGTTATTTGGTGTGCCACAGAATTTTAGTAATTAGTTTGTGATAAAAAAGATTGAAAATCGCTGGTATATTGTATTATTGGATGAAAAGGGTTGAACATCGTTGCAGTATATTGAATACTATGATGAATAAGCCAAAGGCAGGTATATAAGAGGCTGATACAGAGATCACGGGATCTGAATGTTGAAGCATAATGAGGTGGGAGCTGTGTGGGCAGATAGCCCTGAGATCAAAGGCAGGGAGAAAGCCATCTCAGCAGGGATTCAAGGTTTATTTAAACAGAAAAGAAGCTAGGAGAGAAGTGGGCCAAGCCTGAGAACCTAGAACTTGAATTCACTCCATGTTATGCATTTGAAGGTGCATTCACAAGCCCGAGTGCCCTCCCTGCCACCTCACCAGCTGTTTGACACTCTGGGCTGCAGAGCGGGTGGCATAGTAATGAGCGATCAGCAGCATCGTCTCAAACTCCTCATGGGCTGGAGTGTTGGCCTCACTGGACTTCACCAGGTTTTCACACTAGAGCAGGCAGAGAGCATAACCTGGGTCAGGGGTCAGAGTACCAGGGCCATAGAGTGGTCAACTGGTGGCCACTTGGACAGAGGAAGGTACAATAATGAGAGGGTAAAGACTTAAGTGCAGGAGAGAAGAGACAAGACAGGGACAGGCGGAGCAGCCTCATCACAGGTCAGCCCGACTTCCGCACCAGGTTGAAGAGGACATCCCGGAGGTCTGCCCAGGTGTGGTAGGCCTCAGCACTGTTGGTCCCGGGTGAGCTCACCACGTCGGTGAAGATCCTTTTGTAGATGTTGAAGTTCTGAAGGTAGAGGGGTAAGAGGAGCTGAGTGAGGCGGGGAGAGCGCAAGAGAAAGTCAGTGGAAGTAAGTCCAAGAGGGGAAAACAGGTTGTAAATGTGCGTGGGGAAGAATTGTGGGACAGTGGTGGAGAAAGTGCTAGTTTTTAGGAAACAGACAAGAGTAAGAGAATACTTTTTTTTCTATTTCAACTGTTGATTTTAGCAGGGGGAGGGAGGGAGAGAAACATCTATCAGCTGCCTTCTGCAAGCTTCTCCACTAGGGACCAAGGGACTGAACCTGCAAACCAGGCACGTACCTTGACTAGGAATCGAACCAGCAACCTCCCAATTTGCAGGATGATGCCCAACCCACTGAGCCACACCGGTCACATGAAGGTAACTATTTCTCACTCACTGGTGCTCTGTGACTTTGGGGAAATGTGGGGTTGCGTGCACAGTCACGGTGGGAATGGGCTAACGTTCCAGAGAGCTGTGATGCTCAGCTGGGGCAGCAGTGTACATTCACCGGGGGGGGGGGGGGGGAGGTGAGGCCCTGGAGGTGTGTGCGGGATTCATATCTGAAAGGCTGTTCCCTGTGGATTAGGTAAAAGCTTGACAGGTTGGTGTTTCTTCAAAGGGTAAATCTCCAGCGAGGCCATACATTTTGGAGAGACTGGGTGGGGTCTCTGAGCATGACACTGATCAAAGAATCCCTAACAAAGACAGCTCCTGAGGGAAGGGTGGTTCTCAAGGAGAAGAAAACAATGTGTTGAGGAAGGGTTCACTCCAAGGAACAGGCTGGTACCTGTGGGTTAGCAGGGGCTCCGTGTTGCACGTACAGGGCCAGTGCCTGGGCGTAGCCACCCTCTCGGATCAGGTGAGTTGCATACAAGGCCACGTACTTGTGCAGAATCTTGTAGTTCTGTCCCGGAGGTGGGAAAGCATGGCAGAGGTTGGGATCAGCAAGACCAGACAGTGAGGGCGGGGTGGTAACTTGAGACTGTGGATTTGTTTAGGAGGCAAAGGGCACATGCCAGCCAGGCCCCCTTGGCCTCTAACCCCGATTTCAGAGTGTGAAAGACTAGGTGCTCTGGTGTTGATCAGGCGTCTTTAGGGTTTGGGCTTTCAGGAAGTAAGGGATAGGTAGGGGCAGGTGGGGGTCCTGGGAACATGTACAGAAGAACTGGGAATGGGAGGAAGAGGGCGGTACCTGCTTGGTAGCTGTTTCAATGCACTTGTCCCACTGGCCCTGCTCCACGTACAGGTCCAGAGCTGCTACCACATCCACACCCACCAGCTACGGATCCGTTGAAAAAACAGAGTTAAGAGAGAGATGACATGAGGGGGAGAAGAGGGAGAGAATCTCAAGCCTTCTCATGTGCTCTGCCTCCTGCTAGCTCCTCAGGTCTCACCGAGTCCACTTTGCCCTGGTCCTTGAGGAAATCTTTATAATGCTGGTCCACATAGTCTTCGTACCTGTGAAGATGTGCAGAGATCTCACACTTCATGGTCCTGGATGGTCTCATGGTCACACCCTTCCTATGAGAACACTCTCTAATCTTAGTTTTTATAAAAGGAAGAAGGAGAATTTCCCAGTGAGAAGGGGCAGTGAGCTTACCGGGGATCTAACTCCTTGGCCACACGCTTGGCCTTGTTCCACTCCTCAGCCTCCATGAAAGCGTCAATGGCTTCCTTGACTAGGTCCAGGTTCAGATAGAGCTCCGCAGCCTGTATGGAGGGATATCTGAGACTGGAGGCCATCTTTCCTCTGCACGCCTCAGTTCGCCCTCTGTGAACTCTTCCCTTGGTGTCCCCACAAGCGCATGCCACGCCTGCCAAGAGGCCCACCTCACACACTTGCCCGGGCGTCCATGTCGCCATTCCTCCCACCTCTGCGAAACCTGTCTCTCCAGCCCCAGCGCCCGACTTACTGCACAGTGCTTTCCAATTCCAGTCAGCTGGGGTCCTACAGCCCGAACTACTTCCAGACTGCGCTGCGGAGGCAGAAACTTGATGGAGAGCTCGGCTGCCTGAGTGGTTGAACAGGAGAGAGAGATG